AGGCTCTAGTGATGGCAATATCAGTTTGGTGGTCAGTCTAGCGCCATCTTCAGGTCAAATGTTTAAGACCAAATACCTGCAGAATTAATACATTTTTCATCAGTTTAAATTAAATTTCTATCAGTTTCAGTTGTTCTTTGTGTTTAAAAATAATTTGGAAATTTTAGCATGCTAACATCAGCATGTTTACATTGTGAGCATGTCATGTTAGCATACTGATGCTAGTATTAGCTCAAAGCAAAATTTATGTTAAAATGCGCAACTTCTGATACTTTTTCATGAAACACCCCCCCCCCCCCCCCCCGTTTTTTGCACAAATTGCACCATGGATACAATACTCGCTGTAGTAATGCTCGCACTGCAAGGTGTCATTCAAACTGCAATTTTAAAAATGCCTACTGATTAAATGTAAAGAGGCAGTAAAATGTTTTCCCAAAAATGTAATAGTTATTTTTTTTGTTTTCTGAGGTGTTGCTGGAGCCGTTTCACCACCATCCACAACCATGTAAAATTTTTTGCAGCCGCCATTTGTCACTTTTACAGTATGAACACATTACATCGCCTACTCAAGGCCTGCTTAGACGTCACATGGATTAGGACAGCTTTAGTCTTGTTCATTTTTATTCACTTGCATCTTCTCTCCTGCGATGGACTGACGACCTGTCCAGGGTGCACCCGCCTTTCACCCGATGTAAACTGGGATTGGCTCCAGCCCCCCGCGACCCTTTACGCAGCATAAGCGGCTGACAATGAATGGATGGATGGATGCATCTTCTCTCATCTTACAGACTAAACTACAATTAGTGAAAAAGGCAATTGCCAGCTCAATCAATGACGGAAATTATCGTTCAATGTTTCAAACGTCACTGATATCTGACAACATTGTTGATTTATTTATTTTTATGAAAATGTTGCCTGGACCAAAACTCCCTTCACCCCTTATATTTAGGCTGCATTACCACAAAATGTTCCCATGTGAACTGACACAGAGGCCTTTCAGGCTTTCATGTGGTGTAATAGTAATCCTCAAAATGGATGGTGCAGTAACCTGTGCTTTTTCACATTGCTAGCTATTTTTGAAGGCCAGTAAACATTTGAAAATGTATTTTTCGTACATGACTGTGACCACTTTGATCTATTTCATATAGTATATAGTTTAATATCACATACATAGACATAGTTTGTTATATAATGAAAATATCTTATAAAACCTATGATGGATGAGTTACTAAACCACCACCTCTATTGTCAGAGTCTGTGGGAAGATCCTTACTCATAACAATCCCAGTTTAAAAGCCACAGCAGATGTCAAATTATTCAGACTGTGAAAATGAACAAGGCAAGTTCCAATTAAGCATGCAGAAGCCAAAAGAAAGTTGGATGCAGACAACAAGTTTAACAATGCGCTTGCGAAATCAGTCCTAGGCAAAAGCTTTATGTGTGACTCATTATTCAGTTCTTTTTGCATTTGTTCCTATTTAACAAATTAAGTTTAGTATGCAGCTGAAAGAGTGATGTGTGAGGTCAGGGTCAGTATTTTTTTAATGAAATGATAACCTGCAGTAAATGAAGCAATCTCCCCCCTGCAGCTGTCTCGCCGTCGTCTTCACAGTCCTGCAGGAAGCTGTGCTTGTCCTCGCAGTAAATCCTACAACAGAGAAAATCGCAACAGCTTGGCATTAGGCGGGAGAGTATTGAGACATTTTCGGTCAGAGAATGACGCTGTGACACCGGCAGCCTCTTCACCGGAAAAGTTTTTTAAGTGGTCTAAATGTCAACATCTCCTCCCTGTGAGTAATGACCACCCAGGCAGTGCATCAGCTGCTCGGCATCGACCTCATTAGACCACGTTGGGAAAAAAAAAAAAGAGAAAACAAACTGCACACTCATGCCTGAGAAAACACGTATACACGCACACCCATCTATTCACATTATACACAATACTACCAGAAAGGCTTAATTTTCTCTGGTGCTTTTATTGACCTTTAATGCAGTAATTAGAGAAGATGGACAGGCCTTGAGTCTTTACTCATCTCATGTTCTTCGCCACTAATGAGACACACTGTAATACTAAGCGAGGGAGTCGGCATGATCTGCATAATAAATCCATGACAGATGTTATAACATTTACTGTATATGCAGTCACACAGTGTTTCCACAGATTGACAGCGTAACTGTGGCGGGGGGGGGGACTGTCACAGGTGTTATGCCGAATATTCGAGTACAAACAATGTCAACTTAATAAGTGAAAAGGACCTTAAGAAGTGAATGCATAATTCGGCAGATCAAAAGATGTTGGAGGCTACCTGCCGAAATTTGCATCCACCTCTTTTCTCAGCATAAAAAAGCGTTACCTCCCGCGAGGTGTATGCAATTCACGGCAGGCATGCAGAATTCGGCACAACACCAGCGCTGCAAAACGTCACTAGACCTTGTGGGAGCAAGGCCTGATCATTGTTCTAAGCTCACACAGTCTACCAGAGGTATCGTTAGATTGTGTCTGACTTGACAGCGCTGTTTTTATTTCCCTATCTATCAAGTCGGCGAAAGTCAGCCAGTTATCTCAAATGCACCTGTTTACTACCAGTTATACAGGGTGCTAACTTCGACAGCTGTTTTCCGAAGTTAACATAGCTAACGTTATCCTTATTAGCGCCTTTCATGCTTGCTAATAACTGTTTTGAAGATGGGTCTCCGACATTGACAGTGTTGTGTTGGACAGATTTGTGCAGTGGTGTTTATTGCACCAACCATTCAATTCACAGAGGGGTCTGTTGTCCCTGTTTGCGAGAAAGAGAAAGAGAAAGAGAGAGAGAGCGACCGAGTGAGAGGATGTGCCGAGTGAATATTCGCTACGCAGCGCTGCAATCAAAAACGATTTTAAAACGGATTTACTTGGGCTGTTAATCTACCTGGGCAGCCCGCCCAAGTAAAGTCTATGTATGGGAAACACTGATTCACATATATATATATGACATTACTTACCTGTACGCATAAATATTATGAGTGGCACTAGCAATCTTCTTGTTTTCATACAGCTTCTCCAGGACCAATTTAACCTGCAACAGACCACATTTCTAATAAATAAAACTGAGATTTAAATGGCTAGAAATACTGTAACGTTATATTTAGAGAGTAAGGTATGGTTTGAAAACTAGGATTTCGATTGAGGCTGTCTCTGCCTTTCCACTCTTTTTCAGATGTGTCAATTAATTTGTAGGCAGGTTACCAAAAATCTTTGCTGTTTTGTAAGTAATGGCTGGTCCACAAAGCTCAGTCTTCCGTCAAGCTTTTGTCATTCATTAAAGCAACTGTTCATATCATACCAGTGTTTACCATTGGTTTCACTTTTCCATCACTCCTTAAAAAATATGTTTTCAACTGAAGTCATCATAATGATAATTTTTAGTAGTTTAAAGAGAGCGTTGGCGGGCAGATTACAGGGCGGCATGTCTACATAATGTCCAGCTCGAAACTTGAAAAGTCTTACCATGGTATTACGACTGAACCGATTTTAATTATGTTATAATGACTGAGAAACAACTTTACAATATGTACACCTTGGAATTTTGGCAAATAATGACACTGCTTAAGAGATATGATTCATGATGACAAGTAATATATCACTTACTGGTACCATACATCTTTAGTATTAAAAATTATCTACCCTCTGAAGAACACACTGGACATTTTTGTGGTCCATCTGTGATGTGTGACGATGAAAAAAATGCAGAGTAATGTTAACCCATAAGTTTTTACAAAGCTAGTGTGATTTAACAGGGATGTGGTCATTTCAGTTTTATGGAGCCTCAAAGTTTTCAATATTACATCAGTTTATGTGACATTATGACACTTTCAAGACACATTTTACTGACCTCATGCATTATAAAACAGTCATGGTCAGAATGTGTTAGTATTTGTGTTTTATTAAGTTTTTATGATAATATGACATCATATTGGAATAGGTTGTCTGTTTAGAACTTCTGCTAATACAATATTTCCTCATCCAGAGTCACAATGGAGACCCATTTGGTTAGTTATACTATTACACAGTCCAGATTTCACTGACATGGGTTTATTATTTATTTATTAGTAAACTAGTTGAGCTAGCTATGAGCTAGTAGACGCCAAAAGTAACTTTTTAATCTGATATCTGCGGTGCATTTCAAAAACCTCCTGCCTTTTAACCTGTATTTACTATAGCTAGCAATAGCTACCTGAAGTTAAGAGACAAAACTATAGGTGGAACAAACGATGGGTGGGCCACAAAAAAGTCAATTTCATAATTTTCCAGTTTGCCAGTGGTGCTGCCTGTCAAATAATCACATGTCCCCTGCCTCTCTTTAGCAGACCAGCCAGCTACCAGACAGCCAGTTAGCTCATGGTTGCTACAGCAACAATGCCAGAGTAATTTAATTAAATCAAGCAAGTAGAGGATGTGCTTTTAAATAATAAACACAGTGCACGGACACAATAGATAACTTGTATTTATCTCAATAAGGCTGCACATGCTACTTTCCTAGCTGGCTGGCTAGATAAGCTGTGTTGTGAGCTTGGTTTATTACTCAGCATCAAAGTCAAGACACGGTGTTAACGGCAGCAGCGAATGGGTTCATTCAGAGTTACCAAGGCAGCGTTTTGATTTTAAGATGTTTTTCAGAGAGAGGGGCACAACTTTCTTGGTGGTTTGCTGCTCAAGACAACAAAAGCACGCTAGATTACTGGGCAGCAGGGGGCATGTGATTGGCTTGAAAATTGAGGGGGTGGTGAGTGTCATGAAATAAAAAGGTAATGTTATGAAATAAAATGTGACATAAAAATGTGTGTCACTGGGGAAAGTGCAGTTATAAAACAAATACTATGAAATAATAATTAGTTTGAACAATTCCTCAAATTATTTTACACATTTTGTTCATCTATATATTTTACACAATTTATTCATGTGTTCATTTATTTCTCAACATCTTATCTAATAATTTAATACAGTTTTTGTATTAACAAATAAATAAAAAAGGCACAAAGTTGACAATTTGGTCTCAGTGAGGCAGATCTTTTTCTCGGTTATATCTTGGTTTGAATTGAACACTTCCATACAATTACAAGAAAATACGTAAATGCTGTGCAGGTCTCCATCTACTCAGTTCACCTGCTCTGTGGAGGATACCTTCGTCTGTAAATATTTTCATTTAAATAGCACTTCACAGCAGGTGGAAGCTTTTAAGATGAGTCGGTATTTTACTGGAATGCCAGAGAGTGAGATTAACATGCAGGTTGTGAAAATGCTGTGTAAATTAGCACATTTACATCCCCCTCCTCCTCAAGACCCTCATCAAGTCATTTCTACTAAAAACTCATATGAGCGGTCGTTTGTCGCGTGTCTTCATGGTTTAAGAAAAAACAGGCATTGTTTAATTTTTGAGTTGAAAAATCCGTACATAGGAGCAAGGTCAAAATGCCATTCATGTTTTGTACCTGTCTAGGAGTCACCACAGGTGCTAAGTGAGGCTGGAAGGTACTGCGTCGCTCTGTGATGGTATTTCCATGTTTTATAGGAGGTACCTCTTCATCTACAAGACAAAATGTTACACATCATACCTCAGAATTATCAGTTTCATACTAAGCTGTGTTAATTTTGACCACACAATCCAAATGTAACAAAGTCTATCAAACTGAGTGGTACCGATTGCATGATCCATGAAGAGATGTGCATTTTCTGTGTTCAGTTTCAGAGTCCTGAAGTCTGGTATCTCTTCATCATCATCCACTTCCTCCTCGGCTGTCAGGTTCACCCTTTCTGGTGGATCCGCTGAAGCAGGTCAGGTAAGAAATATTTTGTCTTGTTAAAGATAAGGTTGTTTTTTTAAACCTAAACCTGGTGCCTATAAAAGGTCTTCACTGAGGTTTCTGCAAGCCAGGCAGCTTGTCATTAAAATGACAGGTATTGAGCAGCTTATTACCAAATGACCATTACATGACCCTAACACGAATATGGTGTTGTGACCCATTATACCAAGACAGATCATTCATAATGGATGACACCAATTATTGACCTTGACTGATACTATATTTTTGGGACCAATTATTTTTAGCACGGATTAAGCAAATTTGACTGTGTGCCATTAATAATTGAGAAAGGTTTGAGTTGAGGGGCGTCAACTGTTTTTTTCTTTCTCAGACAGTTAATCATATGCTCAGTTCCACATTTCTCAACACCACACGCATGAATAATGCTGATGCAGTGGGATCAGATACAAAACATCAGCAGGTGAGTTGAAATGAGTGCTGTGTTGTTATGGAAACAAAGGTGCACTATGTGTGAGCATAGCCGAAAATCAACTCTATGTATCTGTATGTACTGTATATAGCTAAACTATACTTCCTGCAGTGTGTAATGTAATTTATTTATTTTACATTAGTAACCCTATGCACCAATATTAATGCATTTGAGATACGTTAGTTGATGATAAGAACCCTATGAAATGTTAGTCAGGCTCCTACATTTCTATAGAAATATAGACAGTAAAAAAGCTCTAGATATTAAAACATAAGGCAATCTTGTTATTGTCAACAAATCCCATGCCCATTTTGGGCACAAATATATACTTAAATTTTCACGAGGCTAAATGTCAGCTGGGAACAGTATATTTTTTTTGCAAAGGGGGAGAAATAGTGATCAGTGAAATTGTTTGGGACTATTTTCAACTGTGGATTAATACACATTTGGTGCTCTAGAGCAGTGGTTCTCAAACTTTTTCATGTCAAGCACCCCTTAACTGACACAAATTAGACCACGGACCTTGTGTTGTAGTCAAGACCGCCCAAACCGAGACCAAGTCAAGACCAAGACCAGAGTTTATCGAGACCAAGACCTTTAGGGGCTGAGAGAGTTATTGGTTGCATTTGAGGCGATACGTTTTACATCCTATGAAAGTTAGGAAATCAAAAAATAAATCAGACAATGCAAAAGCAATTTATTGATGTTCCCAAAGTTATGGACCGAGTACAAATGCGGTTGAGTCCGAGACCAAGACGATCCCCCCCTCACTTGTCAAAATGCAAATTCTTTCCCCCTCACTTTTATTGTTATAGGTTGTCTTGCTTACTACAGTCTTTCTGAATGTTGTTATCTTACTGTCCGGCCACCACACCACCAAAGTACAGATGAGAGAAGATCTGAATTGATAAAAATGTTGATACACTGAACTGATACAGTTACCTTCAGTTATTACCATGTGCACAAAGCAATAGGCTTAACGAGTAAGCAGCAGTGAGTGCAAGCGGCAACCTCCAGGTCTGAAAAGTAAGAAGAGCCTAAAGCCCGCATTCTTTCAAATGGCCAACAGGGGGCGACTCATTTAGTGAGTCTGATTGCATTAGTCTATGATAAACTGAGCCTACTTCTCACTTCATTTATTTCCTCTGTAAACACTTTCCTAATGAGGTTATAGTTTCTAGTCTTCTTCAGTACAGCATGATCATTTGGTAAATTATGGTCCCATTTAGAGAAAAATAGACAATAAAGCAGGGTATACTTTAGAGTGTGGTTATTTTGTGACTGACAAGTCGCTACCATGACCGAGGCGACTTATATCCACTGCACTGTGTACAGCATAGCTGAAAAAGCTTATTTAAGGGGTCTGCATTTAACAAGCCGTGAACTTGTTTTTGAGTGTGGTTGGTGTTTTCATCTAAGTTTTAAGTTTATGAAAGTTAATTATAACATTTTGGTTGCCTAAAAGTCTCTTATTTAGCATTTGGTTGTACTAAAAGACATTCTAAGAAGTCGGCTGTTCAGTTTCTCAGTTAAGTACATTTTGTTAAGCGTGTTTTTCGCTAGCTGAAATTAGCATCCCAGTTAATATCACAGTAAATGTAAATTAAGGATGCACCTTGCTAACCAAGCTAGCTAGCTCCACCCTTAAAAATATCGGGTTACGTCTGGTTCCAAAAAAACAAGATGGCGACGGCCAAAATGACAAACTCGGGGCTTCAAAACAGTAGTATGACATTGAAATTAACTGCTCTTTCTGTGGACTTCATTGTGAAACAACCATACACTTATTTTGGAGCTGTCCTTGTACTGTTATTTTTTGGAAAGACTTTGCACTATATATCAGCTGTAACATTTCTGCCCAATTTTCTCTGCTGTACAAAGATGTGCTTTTTGGTTTTTATGATGTCTGCACTTTAAAACAAAAACCATATTATCTTATAAATCTCTTCATTATTTTAGCAAAATTCCACATTCACAAAAGTAAATTTTGTAACAGCAAACCTTTATTTGAAGTATTTATTAGTGAATTGCAACAATACATACAAACTTTTCAGCACTTTTCAAACCCCAAAGCCTTAAAGACTCTCAATATATGTAAACTTCTTAATTGCCTGAACTGCTGATTATTTTCTTTATTTTTATTTTATTTTATTTTATTCATATGTTAACCCCTGGTCTGTGTTTGCACTTGCTTTTGAACTGCAATAAAGAACTTATTTAAAAAAAAAATAACAATGGGTGATGTCATAGTGGCTACGTCCATTCTTTGTAGTCTTTTGTTTTGCCCTGAGTTTCGCTTCTCAGGCAACATAAAGGCTGCCCAGCAGTACCTAGTTGATGAAGGTTGTTGGGGCTGTAAGTAAGTAAATAAGTAAACTTTATTTATATAGCACCTTTTACCAACAAAGGGGGTTATAAAGTGTATTACAGGTAAAAATAAATAAATTTTAAAAAATTAAAAACAAATAATTGTACATATACTATAAAATACCATGGAAATTCTAAAGACAGCCAATTTCTTCAAATTACCATTGAATACCTTAAAAATTTGAAGGAAGCAAAACCGTATTGCTAACTTAAAGCTTGTCTGAAAGATGTGTGGTTAGGTGTTTTCTAAAAGTTTCCACAGAATCCATGGCACCACTACACAGAAAGCACCTCTTGTCTTAAAACATGTTCTGGGAATAGTTAAAAAGGTCTTGTCCTGAAGACCTCAGATATATCCACCAGAGTTGTGTGACATAATAGATCCTGGATGAACGAGGGGGCTTGACCATGCAAGGCTCTGTAAGTAATGATTCAAACTTTAAAATGCACTCTAAAGCCTATCGGAAGTCAATGAAGGGCTTTAGGCACAGGAGTAATGTGCGATCTCCTGCTGGTCTTAGTCAAAAGTCTTGCAGCTGCATTCTGAACAACTTGCAGTCGGTCCATAGAAGATTGCTGTAAAGCTGTACATTGCAATAATTCAAACATGATGAAATAAAACGATGATCAAGCATCTCCCTCTAACACAGATCTAATCTTAGCAATGTTCCTGAGATGGAAAAAAAACAGGAATGAACCACAGACTTAACATGACAAAATGACACCCAGATGTCTTTTATCACCGCAGACAATGCAGCCTGAAAGGAATACCTGCAGACATTACGCAGGGTTGTATTAAAACAACATATCACCAGACCTATCCTTTATCATTCTCCATGAGAAGTAGATAAGACTTTTCAAGATTTTTGAAGAAAGGAAAGCCTGCTAAATTAAAAACTGTGATCAAAGTTGAAATGGTTACAAATGATACAAACAAGCATGCAGTGACAATGTGAAGCTAAGTAATGTCTATAGTTTTTCTTCTCTGTCTGCATGCACACACATACAGAAGATCACCTGCACTTGCATGCAGAAATTAATTAATAGTGGGACTTCATATTTCGGTGAACAAACATTTGGCCTCTCTGATGTTTTTCAGCCATTATTTCTCTTTGCTTTTCATGTCCTCTCTGTCATGTTTACTCCCTTTTCATTTCCTTTTCTGCAAAATGTGCATCTTCGGCCTTATCGCTCCCCCCTTTCTTTCTCTCTCTCTCCCCCACGTCCTTGTCATTTGAATGGGAATAAGCCGTCAATCCTGATCCTCTGAGCTTAAGTGCTGTGACCAGTTATACTTATTACCACATGAATCGCATAGAGAGGACAATTTATATTCACACAAGAATGGGGAGGACGGTTAATATTTTTCAGCCTTGTAGCTCAAAAGAGACTGTGTGCCTCCACAATAGCTGGCCTTGGCGATAGATAAATGAGACAGATCAGACTCCCTGAGAAACCTGAAGCCTAGTGACACTTGTATAAAATCTTTAATTTGGGTATCTTTTACGGTTTTTACACTTGAAAAGACTCTACTGCTAAGGTAACAGAAGGCATTACATAGATATCGATCTTAATTCAATGCAGTCACTCAAAGTCAGACACATATGGGGTTTCTAATGCCTCTACAGGCCTTTGTGCTTATCTTATCACAGCTTTAGACCACCAAATAGTTGGATAACTCACAGAGGAGCATCGTTACATAAGTTAGATTGAAGATGCATTTAGATGAGGCTTCAGTCAGGGAAGTAGATTCATCTGGACCTTTGATACGACTATTTGTTTATAAAAAAAATGATCTAATAATTTATCAGAGCCAAGCTGTTAACATGTGTGGATGTTATCATGTATTTCAGCTTATTGGAAAGTGTGGAACTGACTAAACCCCACCCCCAAAATTAGGACACTCCAGTCAGAGAGGCTGTTTACACCTGGCATTAACATGCGTCTTGGGTGAGCCGATCACACGTGGACAGCTCCAGGTACGTCAGTTCACACCTGACTGATTAGAATGCGTCTCCACCAAGCGGCAACCTCCTGGGCTGAAAAGTGAAGCCAAAGCGGAAGTGCGGCTATAGTGAGCCGTGCATCTAGCGCTTAATTTAGCAACAAGTGAAGCTATTAGCAAGGATATGGTTTGGGGAAGTTTACATTCCAGCTAGCCCAGCCTAACTTGAGCTAGATAGTGTTAAGTGTGTTATTCCTCATCCTAAAAATAATTTTTCTTTTAAAAATGAAATATACTGTTTAAAAGGATTAAGACTGAAGCAAAAATCTTTTTATATTACTGTACTACAATTCTAGGGCCCTCGAGCTCTTCCCTGCAATACACAAACTCTCTCATTGCCATGGTTTCTGCATGGATCATCAACTGGTGAGTATACTTGCTGGTGATTACTTTTAACCCTAAAAATTTAGCTTTAGCCTCATTCTTTAAGCATGATATCGTGTATATAGTTTTAAAGCAAATCATCTGAAAAGCCAACTGATGACAATTCAAAGAGTGGACTTGCTGAGATTTAGCATGAACATTATCTTGCGCTAGCTATCTTCAGCTGATAAAATGACTGCATAAAAAAAGATTGCCCTTTCCGTGTTATAAAGGAAATTCTTCTGGACTGACAAATGTCTATTAAGATTTCAATCATTTTGAATTGCTTGAGTAAGTGTGTCCCCCAAGCATGAACTTCAGTTTTCACACCTCACCTGTTTCTGAACTCTGGGATTTCTCCACGAGGAATTCTCGAATTTTTTCCACCCACAGGTAGAGGATGCTCTCCCCCGCATGCACCCTGTTGAAATTTAAATATTTCCATATGAGGGTGGATCCTCTACAGACTTCAGAGAAATTGCACTGTGGAAACAATCATGAAAAGCTTTTGTTGTGGCTAATTTCACTCTACAGTACCTCCTTGGGAAGTCAGAAATTATGAGAAACACTCACACATAGAGGTCTTCCAGGCTGTTTGCCAATTTGGCCCTCTCTGGGCCTCGCAACCACGCAGCACTACAAAAGGCCAGAACAAACAGAGGGTTATTAAGTAGGAAGAGGAGGGGGTTTTTGAGTGGGATGTAGCTCTATCAATTCAGCAGATCACCGCAAGATTACATTTGAAAGGCAAATAGACTTACTTGATCTGGTAGATGGGGGGGGCTGCGCTTGGATAATCAGGTGGGAGAATTATCTGATCAATAAGAAAAAATTAATAAAGTGGATTACAAACAAACAGCAATGCCAGACACTTAATATGCAAGACTTTTTGTTTCTCTACCTGCAAACATGCCGTCAATCTCTCCAACTCGTTGGATATTTTGATGCAAAATATTCTGGATGCTTCATCTATAACACACCATTCATCCCCGTAGATGGAAGACAGAGCCTCGACCTCTTCAATCTAAATGAGAGGAAACCACAACAAAGCGTCATCATATGTGTCTGTTGACATAAAGCCATTTCAGCATTTGGACCAGCAGTGAGGTACTGAAGGTTTCAAATTCTAATCTAATGTATCTTTAGTGACACTATATCATCAAAATCCAACTGCACAGACGCATCAAAAGCACAATATTAAACTGCAGCAAGCCTTAGTTTGTGTCTTCTATGTACTACCATTACATTTAATGTCACAGATCTAAACATTTAATTTTCCAAAAGAAAATATATATCTGTTGATATTTGAAAAACCCAGAGCGTCATTTAAATCAACAGTTCAATATTTTGGGAAATATGCTTGGACGTTTATTGCACCTCTTAAGCTCGCTAATTAACATGGAATAGGTTGTTTGTTTACTCTGTACAAAAATGAGAGTATGAAAATGTCAAGTCACCCTCTGTGTTAATTTGTGAGCTGCTGGTAGGTAGATTTTTGTTACCTTTGGACAGAGCCAGGCTAGCTGCTTTCCCCTGTTTCCAGTCAGTATGCTAAGCTAAGCTAACTGCCTGCTGGCATGCATTCATGTTTAGTGTACAGACACAAGAGTGGTGTCTATAATCTCACACATATAACACACTTCGGAAGGTATCTCCAGAATCCTCAAAAGACTCTTCTAACCATCTAGATTAAAAATATATATATAACTGTGTTAAACAATAAAATATTCTGCCTGCTGCATGAGAAAAGAGATTTTTAGCCCGTTACCAACGTTGGGTCACTGTTTCCTAGTCCAAACACATATTGTAACTGGAAATTACTTATTTCCCTGTTCAATTTATATGGTATTTAAAAAAATTCAAACATTATATTATCACTTATTATTTGTCTATATTGATGTTACTAAGTAACTAGGAAGTGTGACATTTCTGGCTACCTGGATAGGAAAATGTAATTTGGGAAATGGATTAAAAAATTGTTTTCAAAGATAACTGGGTGTTTATTCCTCAGGAAAATGGGATGCTTAGCTCTGTGACTTAAAAGCAACGGCAATACGTGAGAGGCACTAACTGGGGCCAAACTTAAAGACACTGGGTAAAAATACATTTCAGCAAAACTACAAGTTTAATAATATTTGCTTGTGGTGTGGTTAATTTGTGTCCATGTGTTGTCTTTTTTCTTGCTGTTTTGGCTGCATTCTGTTGATGAGTGGCCTCTGTGTGCACTGCACAGCCCTTGCTGAGCTTCAACCATCACATTTATGTGTTAATGAATCCAGACACATTGGGAGCAACCTCCGGGGTGTGTGTGTGTGTGTGGGGGGGGGGGGGGGTGCATCCCTGTTTAGTTTGGTGCATTTTCATTATACCTACATGTTTATCAGCGTGATATGGAAAAGGATTTGTTAATTTCAGATATGTCAAAAGCCTGCCTGGCTTTTTTCTCAGTGAAATTTGAACTCCGTTTTAAACCATTGTAAACTGACCTAAGCTACACCTGCCAACAATTACTATTTGACATATACGCTCTCTGCAGGACGCATCAAAACACTACAACAAAACAGGCACTAGGCTAAACACAGCTTGCTAGAATGTCTTAACTTCATCAGAGGGGTTGTCAGAGCACACAAAGCTTACTTGAGCCTGAAGATCTCCTTCATTCTCCGGATTTATGATGTCTGCCATCTGTTTATGTCATCATCAAGTCCCTGCCATTAAAACATAAAAAACGAAGTGCGTTAAAAAGATTCAACAAAACTTAGAGCACATGAACCATATCCAGATCCAGTCTGTAAGTGTGGAATTGTAAACTACTTCCAGGGCAAAGCTGATTGGGTGCGTGTGTTTTTGGCTTCCGGGTTCTCGCGTGTTTTGCTTTCACAAAGCCGAGACAAAAGACAAAGCGTAGCGAACAAAGTATTTGTAATTTTATAATTTCTAATTGCTGTATTAATGTGTAAGAGGGCGCGTGACTTATTTATTATGCGATTAAAATATCAGTCAACTGCTTTTATTTTGAAAAGAGCGACCAGGAGTTCCGTCCTGGGACGATCAGCTGATGTCAGTGTAAACAGAAAACAGAGGCGTTTGAAGTGAGAGAGAGGTTGAGCTGTATTTCGCCATCAGTCATCTCAGCGTCAGATGAAGACGGTCGGTGTGGAGTGTGTGTGAGTGACCGTGTGATGTGTGGGACGATATGCGCCGAGCTATTTGGGCTTAAAACATCACATGCAGCCTCACAGAGGGCCTGTGTGAGAGCAGCTGTGTCCGACCACCCAGGATTTGACTTCATAGCACTGGATTAGTTGAAGCAGTAAGTGTCTGTTTATCCTGCTTGCTGATCATTAGCTTGCTGGTGTGTTATTCTAAGGACACATCAGCCTGTTTCATGTCTACTGGCCACAGCTGCTTTATGCAAAAAAAACTGGCATCACTTTAGACTGATTATGCATAATAAATTTAGCCTACAGATGTGAAGATTTGGGCTGGACTATTTCAGCTTGGATGATTATTTGATTATTCCTGTTTATGAAAGTTCATGTTCACAAACTGTGGAATCTGGAAAAAGCAAATGTAAAAGTTTCAAGATAGCAGTGGAAGAAGGACTCAGATCCTTCACTAAAGTAAAGTACCTGTACATTAATATAAACTCAAGTGAAAGTCCTGCATTAAAAATCCTTTTTAATTAAAAGTAGCCTACAGAAGTATTATCAGCAAAATGTAAAGGTCATTCTGCTGAAAAATTGCCCATGTGACTGATAGATTCTAGTCTAGTGGTTGGTTACCAAACTATAGGTCACACCCCCTTTAAATGGCCACAAGATAAATCTGAGGGGCTGTGAGATGATTAATGTGAGAGGAAGGAAGAAAAAAGTTATTCACAATTTTCACAATCTAATATATCCTTTATTTCATTGCTTCATTTAATGCCTTTGGACCTCAAACTGTTAATTTAACCCTAACCCTAATTTGAAATTAAATCAATTGATAAGTTTCGAGGGGAAATTTTATGTAACTGGTTATATACAACTGCACACGCTCAAATATGAATATTTAAATGCTAATAATGCTGTTGCAATAAAAAGTTACAGTTTAGAGGTAATATTGAAGGTGTTTCCCAGAGATTGAATCCTTCAGAAGAAAAACAGGTCGAGTATCCGTTACTGTCACATGCTTCCCAGGTAAACCTGTTCCTGTGCCATAGCGTTGGTTAAAGCAAGATTCATCTTTGTTGCCTGTGCATACCAACGTTTTGAGGGCAAATGTAGAACGTCATGAGGACTAAGGCTGTAAACGGGAACAACAGGATTTGTTTCCTTCCTGTAAGGCTGATCTGGTGACAGTATATTTTGTAATATTTCTTATTTCCTTCTTCTCCCCTTTGAAAGTTGCTTTTCCTCCCTGTCTGAACACTCTTGTGACTATTTCCTCACGTGTCCTAAACAATGAGAGACAATGACTTATTAAGCAATACAAACCAACAACTTCTCCTGGCTGAACACGAGGTTTGATGAGTCGCTTTAAAGGTGCACACTCCCGTGATTTTTATCAAGTTCACTTCTCTCATCACAGGGACTACTGCAAATTGTGAAAACTGAAAACAATAAGCCTGATGCTGTCACAGTGACGTCATCAGGTCGGATATACATATCTATTTGCATTTCGTACAAAGACTCAAATGTTGCCTTTATAGAAAAAACACGTGCTTCCACTGATAAACCTACAGGCGTATCGGTTTTCTTGCCATTTAGTTGGCGGCAGTGATTAGTAAGGAGCATAAACCTCCTGGGTTTCTTTTCAGAGACATGGCACACATGTCCTTCTGAAAGCATCTTTTTTATGCTGTCACTGTTTCTTTCCTGTGTTTCCTCTGCAGGGGTCCATGGAGGAGCTGGAGCCAGAGGAGCAGTTCCTGCAATACGCCAGGAACGGAGATCTGCCTGGGATACAGAGGCTTCTCATGTCCAAGATAAGGGAAGAGACTCAGATCAACATAAACTGCAAAGGTACATGAGCAACACGCGGGAGTAATATCAATCAAAGTTTGTAGTGTAACAAAGTATGTGTTTTCTCAGGTAAGATGAGGTCTAACCTGGGATGGACGCCTCTTCACTTGGCCTGTTACTTTGGACACAAAGATGTAGTGGAGGAATTACTTAAGGTGGGGTTTCTTTAAAAATAACAAAAAAAAAACATTAAAACAGTTTAAGTTTTTAAATATTTTACTTTTTGAATAACTGGATGGCTGGGGTGTGTGTGTGTGTGTGTGTGTGTGTGTGTGTGTGTGTGTGTGTGTGTGTGTGTGTGTGTGTGTGTGTGTGTGTGTGTGTGTGTGTGTGTGTGTGTGTGTGTGTGTGTGTGTTGCACCCTGCAGGCAGGGGCAGATGTTAACTTGCCCAATAATATCGGAGACACACCTCTGCACAAAGCTGCCTTCACAGGAAGAAAGGTACCTCCATACTTCATCAATTTGCCTTTCAGATTTTAAGTTTACACTTCTCGTCTCTTTGTTGATAGTATGGTTTTGTGCATGCATTTATTCATCCATTCAGTCAATCAATCAATCAAACAATCACGTATTGATCAGGAGGTTGTCATGCTGCTGCTGCACTATGATGCATGTGCTACTGTCATCAATGGGACAGCACAGATTCCCAAAGATGTCACGCAGAATGCAGAGATCAGAAGCATGCTCGAAGGTGAGATAGACACTTTCTCATCTAAGAGATTTCATTGAATTTATCAAATCTCCATGCTTGATCTTTTAAAATATTAATTCATACAAGGTGTTTATATAATTTATAGATTCTAAAATCCTCCTACATTTTTTTTTCTTGTAAATCCCATCCTTTTACTGATACCAGCGGCCGAGAGAACAGAGGAGAGGAAACTAGAGGAGGAACTTTTGGAAGCTGCACGAGAAGGAGACCTTTCAACTCTAACTGAGCTGGTTAGTGCCAGATGCTGATAACTAATCTAATACTCTCAAAGATATGAAACAGAAGTCTGAAACATGTACTTTAATATTATATTTTGACCAATAATAGTGTACAATCTCCTCAGCTAATTTGAACAAATTTCTGTAGTCACTACAGTTAGGGGGGAAAAAAGGAGCCATGCTAGCGGCGTGGCTATAGGGATAGCAGTATTAGTCTGTCGATCTCACCCTCTTGGTCCAGACTGAAATATTTTGTACAGACATTCATAGTTCCCAAAGGATAAATCCTAATGACTTTGGTGATCCCCTTTTATTTTTTAGTTTGACCATGAACTTAAAATAAAGGGAAATGATATTAGTGGTTTTAAGGGAAATATCTCAACAACTAGTGGATGGATTGCCATGAATTTGGTTCACGCATTCATGTTCCCCTCAGGATGAATTGAAATAACTTTGGCGATCCTCTCAGTTGTCCATCTAACACCATTTTCAGGTCAAAAGATGTTTTTTGTGTGTGCCTGCTAAACATCAGCATGTTAGCATTGTCACTGTGAGCATGTTAGCATGCTGGTTTGATATGTACTGTGAGCTCTTACTAGAATGTATTGTCAGTCGTAGATCTGTAGTTGATGCTCTGTTGATGCTTGTATGTTGTTCCTCAAATGTAAGTCGCTTTGGATAAAAGCGTCTGCCAAATGAGTAAATGTAAATGTGGTAGCCTCACAGACCCGCAAGCATGACTGAGGACTGTTAGTCTTTTTCGTTTACAGGTACACTCAGTTATTGTCACATAAGTTCACAAGTCCAGACAAGTAGGCCTACAAGTCAACTACGCCCTTTTAAATCTCAGAGACAACAACACAATTGTCCATGAAAAAACTGCATCAGAAAAAGCTATTTGCAGTATGTGCCACAAGAGTCTTCAGACACACAAAATGAACACTGGCAGTTCAGATTTGAAAAGCTATTCTAGCTCTTGGACACGGAGTGCAAAATAAAAGGCTCATCCTTCAGTTCTAAGCAGAATAATAAAGACCTGCAGGACATTTAGGCCCACACAGCCCATCTGTTTTTCTCCTGTGTGTTTGCTGCAGCTCAGCAGGAAAAAGCCTCCAGACATCAACTGCACAGATCTGTTGGGTAACACTCCGCTGCACTCTGCAGCCTATAGAGGCCAGAAGCAGTGTGCCCTGAAGCTGCTAAAAAGTGGAGCAAGCCCCAACATCAAGAACAAGAATGGTAAGACCCATCAGCTAGGGCTGCCAAAAATTAATGACTTCTGTCTGTAAAGGCTGGCTATATTCAATGTTTCACTTGAAAAGACCAAAACCAAAAATTAATTGATAATACTTACAAGTATTCCCTGTGTAGCCTGATGTAGCTTATTCCTTTGTGCCGTAAAAATTCCACTGATGTCCAAAAACTATTAAAGACCAAACAGTGAGAACCACATACAAGGTGGAGAAAGTGGAAAGTAATGAGACATTGTTGGGTTTAGTATTTTGATAAAAAGTAAGAAAAATATAGAATATACACCAGTCTTATCCTTAAACAAACCATATTCCACATTTCTTTAAGACTGTTGATCCAAAAAACTTTCCTTCTGGCATTGAGTGAAAAGATATGTCTTCATTTATCCACCCAAACACAAATGGCAACTGACTGAGTAAACAGCTTTCATTACCGAAGATATTTTCAAAGTTTAACCTCTGATTATTTTTGCCAACCTCCGTGGTTATTTCTGGGACTCGAGCGTGATTATCAGTTCACAAAATGTAAACACTATGATTACGTGAGACAGACACAAGCTGGGCTTGGTTCGAATGTAAATGACTTCCAATTTATAACGGTTTTCACTGGCCTTTAAATATGGTTCAATCAGGCATTTTTCCCCCCTCTGTGTGTTCTGTTGTACTAAAGCCCCACTTGTCTTATGTGTCCATTACTCACAGGCCAGACAGTGTTTGACCTGGCTAGTGATTCGGCAATGAAGCAGATCATTGTTCATCGAGTGAGTGCTCAGCTGAAAGTCCGCCTCCTGAAGTAACTTAGATCTGTTTTTTTTTTTTTGTTCTTTCTTTCTTAATGTTTCATATCTGTCCCTTGCAGGGTATGATGCAACATGTCAAGAAGTACGAAGGACTCCTCTGGAAGGTAAAGTCTGGGAGTTATGGTGGCTGAGAGCCCCCTCCCTATGTGTTACAGATTGAGAAAACACAAGCAAATGGAGAAACTATACTTACCTCATACGTTGCATTTAGAGACCCCGCTATATACAGACGTGTTGCAATACATTTAGGAAAATAAGGTTTCAGTTCTGCATTTAGTCTTAAAGTTAAATGCACAAAACATTTTAATAATTATTTTCAATTTTGTCTACACTGCAGGATAAAACTCTCTAACTCTCATAGGCTCATATACCTTTAAAGAAAAGAAACTATGCTTTTATTTAGGAGTTTGGATTATTTTGTAAAAATTCAGGCCACAAGACTTGATTTTGTTCTTGTCATTGAGTGTACAGAAAAGCTGACCTAGTTCGGTAGGAGTGAATCATTACATAGTGAATTGGGTTTGGGCATTGATTAGTTTACTGGGACGATGAAGAGTCAATGACCTGCAACATGATTCACATGCAGCACAATGAGGATGTCACAGCAGCAGTGTAAGATACTACAGGCTTCACTGAGCCACTGCAGGATCATTAACATATGGATGGCTTTATTTACACATCCATTCGATATGGAGAAAAATTAGCATTGATTTGGCCTTGTGTTTAGGTCTACATGATGAATGTTAATCCAGTATTGACTACTTTTTGAGCTCTGTTTTGTTCTTCACTAACTCCTGAGGGAAACGGCTGGCAGCTAAATGCTACCAGCTAGTTGCTACCTTTACTAGCATTATGCCATTTTTTAGAAACAGCTGTGAGCGTGAACCATAACAGTAAAGCTGCAGGCCAGAAAACCAAAACTACGTACTGAAAGATTCTAAAATGCTCTGTAGAGCTGAAGGGATCTGCAGAGTGTGGTGATAAGTCACTGTGGGTTCATTACTAGTGGCAACCCCTTATACATACAAGTATTGATCCTTTGTTAACAGACAAATATTGATTTTAGCATCTTTAAGAAAGAAAAAACAACAATGATATAATCCTGCTAACAAGTAATTTCTGATGGTGGATTCCTCTGTGCCATAGAGCTCCATTGTTGTCCAAAAACACATCATTGAGCCTCACTGGGTGACGTGTTCCTCCATGACGATGAACGGCCACTGTAGTTTATTTTGAGTCATTCCCACATCCAACGCCTGATGCCAGAAATACTCACAGGCACACCAAATGTTTATTAATGCACAGCTGTGGAGTCTATTTAAAAGTCAGATACTGGCAATTACGGCAGCTTCCGAGTTACATGACCGCAGCATTGTAGAACCCTGAAAATTGACTTTATTTTTACCTTCTGCTGCGCTAATCAGTCAGAAAGCTAACCCAGACATGGTTCTCTCATGTGCGTCAGCATTTGAAATATGTTTCTAAATGCGGGGCGAGTGTCGTCAAATACGTGAATGCATTTCCAATTTGCTGTATTTTCTCAAGGCGTGCTGTGCTCTCTCTCAGCTACCATTCAAATCAGAACAGACTGAACAATAATAGAAGTCTGAGAATCAAATGGATGATTCTTCTCTCTGTGTCTCATCCTGCAGAGCTCCAGATTTTTTGGTTGGCGCTCCTACTGGGTCATCCTTCAAGATGGGGTTTTATCCTGGTACTCAAAACAGTAGGTACCAATTCCCACCTTCGCTGGGCTCCTTGAATTAGTGAACATGTGAAAAAGCACCAGATTATAATAGCACTGCGCACTTCTGATTAGAAAGGTGGTGGAAGTAACAGATAAATGAGTTAGAAAATATAAGGATTCTGTCTTATAAAGCCCCATTGAAAATCATCTGTAGGGAAAAGTAAAATTCAAGCCTTTAAAAGAAACCCCTCAAATTATCACTTCTTTCTTGCCTAATGAAGGTCAGACGGAGCTGCCAGTATCAGGAGACAAGGCTGCAAGTCCCTCACACATGCTCAGTGTTTGGTAATCCAACAATTAATAACCACTCTCCCTTTTTTTGACCCCTGTGTTGAATTTGTGTGAGTATAACTTTTGCGCAATGTTTTTGATGTTCTCATTTCCAGATCCGGGCCAAGGATAGCTGCTTTTTTACCCTTAAGTGCTTCGATGACAGCGTGCATCATTTCAAAGTATCACCAAAAAATGACCCAGAGGCAACAAGAAAAGTATGTTTCATTGCTCTTTTGTGTTAACTTGTTAAACACTCATCTCCTGACCCACTTTGACAGAAACAACATTTTGCATATGTCTGTTTCTACTTTTATCCATTTATGGCCCTAAAATAAAAAAGAATATTTATTTCCAAAGTCAATCTCTAAATTGGTTCTAGATGGATTCTACCTCTGAAGCACCACAGGGCTAAAAAGATGATCATATTGCTCATTGTAGTTTTGTAACCTCAAAACAAAAATATTCTTGAGTTTATAAAGAACATTGTAAATTACACTGATACAAATGCTAACTAAGCTCAGAGTCATTTCTTATCTTGTTTGACTTAGATTTTTACGGCTGAACCTTTATGCTAGTCTACGATCTTGTTAATTACACAGCTCATTCTGTTTGTTGGTAGGAATGAATGTTTTTAGCCTATTAGTAACTCAAGTTCCTGTGACTTCTTTTGAGATAACCGTAATGAAGGACAACATTTTAAAATGTAGGAATCGGAGAAAACTTTAGGTCTCTACTGTCGCTGCTAGTTACTGAACATGCTGATGCTAACCATGCTCTGCAAATGGGTTTGTGTCTGTTTATAACTTGTTGTATGTGCCCAAATATATTTGCATCATTATTCCTTTTAGTAATTAGTACAGTGATTTTGTGTATATAAACAAAGTGTGATTTAACCGTCCACTTTTTTTCACTTGGACTTGGACTCGGACTTGAGTCACAAAAATAAAATGCATGAAATATGCAATATTCTGTGTAGTTTTGGATCTCTGACAAACAGGCGTGCATAAGTAGTAACATAACCAGGATGCCTGCAACATCTCCATAACCTCACTGGAAATGGAGGAAACTCTTAATTCAGATGAGAGAAAGTAGCTTTTGATTATAAAACCAGTCTGTACACGAGTAAGCCCTGTCTTTCCCCACTTCATAGCCAGCAGATCACTCGCTGCAGCAAATTATCCTGACGCACAAGTCACTTATTTGTGAGATAATTAATAATACATTTTCATTTTTCTATTTATTCATTATAAGAAATAACCTAGTTTTTATGCCATCTGCCCAGTTTTAGATAAGACATCAGAGGGGGCAGTGCAAAGGATTCATGAAAATTGTAAAATATTTTTTTGTAATGCTCCTACAATTATCTCTTCTTATTATATTAAAACTAATATTAAAACTGAACTTTAAAGTTCTATTGGACAAGATGTATGTTTGTGCACTCAACTAACCAAGTCTGTTCCTAGTTAAGCTTGACTTCCAGTAATGCTTATTTTTTCACCTGTTAAGCAGTTTCAAGTCTGATCCCTCATCCACTACTCTGCCTAGTTATTAAAAAGCAATAATAATAATTAGTCAGCTCAGTCATGTACAGGATCAGAATGGATCCTGGTTTTGTTGTGACCAATCAGAGATGGATTAAAATAAAAACCAGGAGCAGTGATGTAGAAACACTTAAATGTTCCAAACAGAGAGAAACTCATCTCAGGGTTTTTTGCACAGTGGATGCTTTGATTAATTATTTGCAACTTGACATTAAATACCCTGTTTCCATTAACTAAAAAGTATTTGATGTGATTGTGGCCATTGTTCCATCGTTATTTTTATACTAAGAATTGGTACTGGGAAAACCTTGTTTTTTGACTCACATGTCACATCTCAAAGACTTGGTCCAAAAGACTTAAAAACAGCTCTGCCCTCTGAGCAGATAGAACCTAATAGGAGATGAGTTCTCTCATGACAAACCAAAGAAAAATCTGTTTTTGTCTTCCAGGCATGGCTGGATGCATTGGAGGAGCACTCTGCTTACAGCACACACTACTGCTCCCAAGATCAGGGCAGTGAGGAGGAGGAGGAGGAGGAAGTGATGTCACTTGGGGAGCTAACAGCATCACTACAGGTGGCTGTAAACAAAAAAATCCATAATTAGTATGTCAGCATATTGAGCTGCAGTGTTTTTCGGCAAACTTGAAAGCCCCCATACCCCCCACCCTGCGCTGCTTCATCTGTTCATCTGCAGTCTCCTCTCATCTCTCTGAATCCAGGCAGCAGAGGCCAGCCAAAAGAAACTGGAAGAGGAAGTGGCAGCTTTCCTGTCCATGCTGAAAAATGATGGGCTGGCAGAAAGTAAAACCTGTTCTCTTTTTTTATCAGTTCAGTTTTTATTTTCAATATATTGTAATATATTTAACGGAGGAGAAACCCCACAGATATGAACCGTCCAAGAGTGGAAATTAAAAAAAACGTATGATTAAAATTACAAGCATCATTCAGCAGATTAAAAAAGCACAGTATTGATGAATAATGTCTGAAATCCTCATAATTAAGACTCTGCACCATCTGTTTCTGTCATTAGAGGTTTGCGGGGGTTGTTATTTGTTGCTTTTCTGAGAGCATGAAAAAAAGCTTCTTCTGCTTTTTGAGCAGCTTGATTATTTTATTTTTTTTCATTTTAGCCATTACTTTGTGCCAATTGATGTGTTGTCCCCTCAGGATTTCCATCCGCCATACTGCAGAAAATGCAAGAAATCTGTAAGTTGTCCAGCGAGACCAGTTCCAGTCTTGGTGTCTGTCTTAGCTTCTTCTCCAGACAGGAGGGGGTAAGTGTCCGGGATAGATTTGTGTCTGTGTTTGAATGCCTGTTCGCAGTCAGGTTATACAATAGATTTTCAGCATTTTACTCTCCACAACCCATTGCAGTTCACTCAAATGATAAAAAATATATTTTTGGTATTATGTGCTGATATTGGGAGATATTCAGCTCTGAAACGTCATGGGATTTAATTTTCAAAAAAATGACAGATTGTTTTGAAATCCATGGATCACAGAGTAATTATGTTGTAGACCATGAAGACTGAGTGAGAAAATATGTTTCTTTGTGGTTTGAGTGAACTGACCTTTTAAAAAATTGCAAACCATAAATACTATAATCAACAGGATCCTTAATGTCTGTGACCCTCAGCTATATAATGATGTTTTTTTATTTTGTTTTTAAGAAAGAAATGCTTCATCAGAAAGCGGCGGCACATCTCACTCGTTGTTATGAAAGCCACTCAGTGAAGTACAGTGATTAAAAGCTGTCCGATGGGGTTTCTTTGTGTGTGATTCAATGGATTTGATTATAATGGAAGGATTCAGTGGATAAATTACTCTCTCTCTCCAGAAAAAAAAAATAGATAGCTCCGCTTATAGCTCACAAGTGCCAACCCTGTACATCAATTCTGTAATGCAATAATATATTGCACTTGACAAAACATAGTGTTACATGGCGATTCACATAAGAGACCCATTTCACGTTTTGAGTGCAGGAGGCTCTGTGTGGCTTGTTGATGTGTGAAATTATGAATGGCTTGAGAACTTAAACCTCAGAGTGATTCAGAAGGATGCTGAACTTGGAATTCGTTGGGGCATTGAGTAGCGAAATTGCATTAGTGCTGTAATGTATATGTAAACACAGAGCCAAACAGAGTCGAGCGAGCAGGATTTTACTACACTGGCCCCAAACACGGCACCGGACACAGTGCACCAGACAGAAGAGGCTCAATAGGAGAAGCCAATATCGTCACATCACAGTGCATGACATTTTACTCTGTAAGATTGATGCTGTTGCGACAAATAAGGATATTTCATCATGTTGATGCAAAAATCATAAAACCAGACTACGAGGCTACAGGCATGCTAGCAGCTCTTTGAAGCTCTTCTTAGGTGCTGCATAGCATTGAGCAAAATGCTAATATCAGCATGCAAACATGCTCACAGTGACAATG